TTAAAAGCTGTGTGGATGTGGCTCCTGGGGACACGGTTAGTGGTGGCCTTGGCAGTACTGGGGGAATGGTTGGACTTGAAGATCTTAAAGGTCTTTTCAACCTTAATGATTCTCTGATTCCTGTGCTCTCTCCTGCACGTTCCTGTGCCTGGTTGGTACCCAATCCTCCAGTCCTGGAGGCAGTGAGATGCCCTCACCTTGCATGACAGCACCCAGCTGCTCAACAACTTCAAAAGCAAGATTTACTGCTAACATGTCCTCTAAGAGACTCCACCTCAAGAGAAAGCTCTTGTGTATTCTGGAATTTAGAACCTGAAACAGGAAAACAACCCCCAAAGGGTGAAATCTGCAGATAACGCACTTTTCCAAACTGCAGAGCTGCAAGGCTGGGCCAGCTGCACCAACAGCTGGGGCACAACAGCTTGAACAGAGGGAGCAGGATGCTGAGGTGCTACAGAATGTCCACCCCAGGGTCATCTGCTGAAGTTTTACTGACCTGATCACACACATTAGACCTCCTTCATTTCTTCTTTCTAAGTTGGAGCTAAAATGAGACCAATAAATTGTTTCCCACTGCAACATGTAAGGGCCGAGGACAAGCCTAGTGTTGGCACAGCTAGCCCTGGTGTTCTCAGAAACCAGGAGGGAAGACTCCAGAGAGGCTTTTCTCCAGGGCCAGGCTCCTCCACTGACTCACAGCTTGCTTCCATTTGCTTTTTTCCTATCCAAACTCCGGATCCACTGATTATCTTTCTTGTTCTGGCTAAAAATAAGTCAAACATCTCCGTTTGCCTGCCTAAATAGCCCACTGCTGTAATCTCTCGCCTTCTGAAATTACAGTTCAAAACTCCCTTTTAATTTTCCCCCCCCCTCCCATTCCCAGCTCTTTATCCCCTGGCAGCTTCCTGCCCTCTTCTTTCTAACTGAGCTCAGATTAATTAACCAGATTTTTCTAGATTACAGTGCTAAAGCCCTTCTTTCTTCACAGATTAAAACCAAGAGATGGACCCTTTCTTCTGGTTGGTGGTTACGAAAATAGTATTTTTGTATCTGCAACTGGATGAATACCTATTTAATGAATTGTTTTTATGTTGGACTGAGTCATGATTAGGGTTTTTCTTTTGTGAGGTTGTTTTTAATGGATGTGAAGGAGGACCAGGAGGCTGCCAGTGAAAGCAGATGTCAACTGCACCCGTCCCAGTGTATATGCTCAAAAAACCAACCAAAAGCCACCAAAACAAGAGGCCTTGCTCCAGAGAGTACAGACTTGCAAAAGCAAGCTCATGAGCAAGTGAAATAATCTCAATCTCCATTTTACAGGTAAAAAGTGAAGAGTCCTGGTGTCAGATCCATCATCTGCTGCAGCCTCTCAGTGACCCCACATGGTGACAGGACTCAGGAGTGGAAATGCACACCCATGAACTGGCTGCCTGCCCACAAAAAATCCCAGTTGGCCCCTTCTCCTGGCTTTCACAAGGCTATTAAAGCATTTCCCACTCATTGCTTACAGTACACTGAGAATTAGACACCCTGGCAGTGTCTGGAGGAGTATGACACATCCTGCAGTACCCTCATCCAGCATCCTCAGCGTGCTCTGCACTCACATGGAACCCAAAACCATCCCTTTCAGATTTAGCAGAAGCAGACAAAATTTCTCAGCAAAGCTTCACCTAGAAATCCCAAGCTCCCACTGAATTCTGGAACTCAGGGAGAGATTAGTTTGAGTAAAAAAAAAATCTAAAAACTAAAGGATGTGTGTGGAGGACAGGCAGCTCTCCCCAAGAGCTCTTCTACAATCCAACCTCTGTCTCAGCATTTTGCAGCACCATTACTCCTTCTAGAACCCCCTGATTGGCACAACAAGTTGCTGAGTCAGGTGTTAATGCTTCAGGCTTGACTCACCCAGTGCTTTAATCAAGTAACTTGCTCTCTGGAACTCACAGAAAGCTCATTTAGAGAATAACATCCCAGCAAATTTGTCATATACAGAGAGGGCTGGGAGCTTTCCTCCCACCTTAACATGTACCCTCTTAAACTGCTCCTTGATGAAATTCCCTTATTCCTCACACAGCTCATCAGGGTTTGTGCTCCTGGCCCAGGGAGCTCCTCCTGCCCTTGCCCAGGGGCGTGGGGTGCACACAGCCATGCCAGCAGGATCTCATTGCTCACACACTGCCAGACCTCTCAGAAAGGCTGGAAGAGGCAGAACATTCCTCCACACCACTCCTGGTGCCTTCTTTCTTACCAAGACTCAAATTATTTCTGCTTTAGATGGAGAGCACCCCTAAAGCCACACTGCTGAGTCTCTCCATGAGGTATCTCCCAAGGAGGAGCTGCAGCAGCACTTTGTGTAGGATCTGTATGATAAACCTCTCCGAGGGTTCAACATGATGAACATCCAGAACTAACCACAACTCAGGTTGTGGCTGCCCCATCCCTGGGAGTGTCCAAGGCCAGGCTGGACGGGGCTTGGAGCAACCTGGGCTAATGGGAGGTATCCCTGCCCATGGCAGGGCGTGGAACGACATGAGCTTTAAGGTCCCTTCCAACCCAAACCAGTCTGGGATTCTGTGATTCTCTAATTCTAACCCAAGACAACTGGTGCATGTGAAATCATAGGAGAAGGTCTGCTGACTACAGAGTGCACTAAGAGCAGCATTTGCAAAACAAAAACAGCCCGTGGAGAAGTTGCAGATGGGAAGGAGAGAAGGGAGCCAGTGGAAAGGACAAACTGTAGCAGCTGGAAATACTTAAAGCCACAGATTCTGGAAAGAAAAGGAAAAAATCTGTCTCCTCCCTAGGATCCAGCTTCCCATCCTTCAGCAGGATAAAAACAAAAACCTTTTAAAACTCTGCTGCAGGGAACAAAGAAGGAGTAAGAGCTGTTAATCCTCCCTGACCCTCGCTGCGCTTTCTCTCAGCTCATGTCTACACAACACTGGGATCATCTATCACTTTCCAAAAATACTGCTCATTTCCTGTATTTCTGTAATTCTATCCCCTGGCATCAAACACTGCCTTTTGTCTTTGTCTTCTTGTCTCAGTTCGATGTACCAGGATAATTTCTTTCTATAACAAAGGCACATTTTATAACAAAGACCCCCTCAACCTCTGAATTCAATTGCTATTGACTCTCAATCTCTGCTATAGCACAAGACTTGTTTGAAAAAGTGAGGCATTCAAATTATTTAGTCTTACACGTTTATGAAAACTATAAAATGTGGTGTAGGAAGAGTAATAAAACTGCACCCAGAGGTACAGAACAGCCAGTTTGCACCCCTTCTGCACCCTGCTACAGTGTCGGCTTGTATTTTGAGTTTTTGTGGGCTCAGTCTGCTTTTCCCAGCACTTTCACACCTCTGCAGCCCTTGCTGTGGCACTGAAGTTGCTGCCAAGTTCCACTGGACTGCTCAGTGCCGAGAAGCAGATGCTCCATGACTCATGCAGTGCTTGCAGACACAAGTTATCCATAACAGCACCATAATTAACAATACCAAATGTCAGCTCTAAAATTCAAACATGCAGATGTTCATGCCCATGGCCTATGACCACGCTAATTTAGGAGACAGTGTCTGATCCTGCAAGTGTTCTACACCAGGTTGGATGAGGCTTGGAGCAATCTGGGATAGTGGAAGGTGTCCCTGCCCATGGCAGGGGGGTGGAATGAGATGAGCTTTAAGGTTCCTTCCAACCTAAACCATTCTGTGATTCTGTGATAAAAATATAAAGTGGAAGTAAGAGGTAATGATTTTCATCTATCATATGAATGACTTTAGCAAATTTTGAGTGTCAGAAAGAGCCAGACATTCTGAACAGACAGCAAACTCTGGTCGTGAAAAAAGATAACTAATAAATAATGACTGTCTTAGCACTGCTAAGAGCTAAATCCCCCTTCCTCCCAAGCAAACAGTCCTAGTCCAGCTAAGAGGTATAGTCCAAGCAAACTGGACTAAGCTGTGGTAACTGTGGCCCTTCCTAAATGGAGTTTTCAGTGCTCACAAGCAGAGGTTTTCCACTTCACTCGAAAGCTTTACCTGGCGCCGAAATTCCGGAGGACTTAGATACAAAACCCCAACATTCAGGAGGAAACGAACCCGGACGTTTCGCTGGGTGACAAGGCCGGAGCTGCTGCAGAAGCCGCGTTTTCCAAGGGTGGGGGAACATTCCCCGAGTGGCTTCGGATCCAGCGGCACCTGCGCAGGTACCGCCGGGGACCCAGCGCCACCTGCGGGGCGGGCCCGGCCACTGCATCCCGACATCCCGACACCATCCCGACACCATCCCGACA